TCTTTACCTGCAGGGTTTCTGTCGTTTGGGTTTGGGATCGGGATTTGTTACATTATGGGATTTGAGTAGAATTTCTCTTGGATTCAGGGACTGGGGTTTAGGGATTCGGGATGGGATTTAGCTTTCAGGTTTGTTTTCTTTTCGAGGTGGGGTTTCGCGCATTCGGTAGACCGTGGTCCCTTGTTGACCGTAGTCCCTGTTTTGGTACAGTATAATCACAACTCAGAAGAAGTCCCTCCAAAGCCCAATATAGCGGCCTTGAAATTTCAGTGAGACTCCGATGTCGCCGCTGTTCGGAGACGCAGTGAAGGCGATGGGTTCTCTCTTGAGTTCCTTGCCTACCGGCATAAAGATTAGTCTAGGGGCCTTAATAATTAGAATAGGGTTTTCGGGCGCAGAATACTATAGTTATAATAAGGACGCCTCCAAAATAGTAGAGGTAATTATTAAGGCCTCTACATTAGGTCGAGTGCCTTCTCGCTGTTGTTCCTGTGTGCGGCAATCGCCCGATCTGCGAGCCGAGCAGTCGAGAAGTCAAGCTCGATCACCAGGGTTTGGGGTTTAGGGTTTGAGGGTTTTAGGGTTTAGGGTTTAGGGTTTAGAGTTTAGGGTTCAGGGTTTAGGGTTTAGGGTTCAGGGTTTAGGGTTTAGGGCAACCTTGAACTACCTCCAAGCAGTTGAGCTCTCACGCTCTTTGTATGAGAAGATTTGCAGCCATCCGCAAATTTCAACGGCATCGCCTCTCTGTCACCGCGGGTTAGCCCTACTCGCCTCAGGCAATGGCATGCTATCATGCTTGCCCACACTCAGAACCCAGACCCCCGGAAGGATCTAGAGAGTAGAACCCCTATTTTGGGACCCTATACTACTAAGTGCTCTTTATAGGAACCCCCCATTAAGGGATCTACTTTTTGGATCCTCCCGGGGGTCTGGGAATGGAGGCAAGAGAGAGAGCCTGAGCGAAGCTGCAGGCCGAGCTCGAACTCCTTTAGGGTTTAGGGTTTAGGGTTTAGAGTTTAGGGTTTAGGTTTTAGGGTTTGGGTGTAGGGTTTAGGGTTTAGAGTTTAGGGTTTAGGGTGTAGGGGTTTGGGTTTAGGGTTTAGGGTCCCGGACCTTGAATTCAAGCAGCAGCTGCAGCAGCAACCCTGGCAAGAGCTGACGCTCAAAGACGGCACTCTGAAGGCAAGAAATGGGGGGTTCCGAAAATAGGGGACCCTAATATAGTACCCTAAATAATAGGATCCCTATCATAAGGACCCCCAAAATAAGGTACCCCTTATTTTCGGAAACTCCCAAATGAACACAACACGAGGGCTGCGAGCTCGATGTTAAATCTGACGAAAGCCTAGCATCAACAAACCGCTAAACCTATGCAACATAGACATGCAACAAGCACTACAAGCCACAACAGGAAGGTCCCCAAGTACGATGCCCTTTCAATCAACCCTTAACTATCACCCTTGAGGACGAAGGAGCCTGTGTGCTCTCAAAAACAGTTGAAATCCTTTTGTGATCCTGTTTCTCCATCCTCGTAATCCCAGAGGCCTACGTAAACCCTAGGCCCTAAGCCCTTCCGTGGGGAGCCGTGGTGCTACTCCCTGTACCCTAAACCCTAAATCCTAAACCTAACACCTAAACTCCACACACTACTTAACGGTTCATGGGACTTAGTAACTAGGGTTATAAATAAGGAAATTGAACTTATCAGTACTTAAAGCCCCAAGGTACTTATACCTGTACTTGTTAAGTCCCATGAACCTCCAAGTAATTAAACCCTAAGCCCAAAAACCCTAAACCCTAAACCCCAAACCTAAATCCTTGAACCCCAGTATTAAGGGGTTACTGGGGAGCCTAGTAAAAGCTGGAGGAGCTTTGGCGCTACTCCCCGGAGTTGGGGAACGTCGCGTTTGGCTCGGCAGTGCACGGCTGGGCTTTTCGAAGCTCGAGGGAGCAAGGGAAGTTTAGGATCCTTTTTATGGATTCCCCTAAGCCCTGAACCCTAAGCCCTAAATTTTATAAACCCTACAAGGGTATAGGGTTCAGGGTTTAGGGTTTAGGGGTATAGGGTTTAGGGTTTAGGGTTTAGGGGTATAGGGTTTAGGCTTGGAGCTGAGGATTCTGCGGCTCCCCAGAGTTTTGAAACTTCACATAGAGAGTTTTTCTCGACCCTAAACCCCTAGACTTGATGAGGGTTTCGTATCATATCATATGCCTTATTGAAAGATCCATAAAAAGTCGGCTCCTACTGTGAGGATGGACGTCCTCCCAGACCCCCGGAAGGATCTAGAAATTAGGTTTAGGGTTTAGGGTTTAGAGATTCCCTAATTTGGGACCCTATACTACTGAGGGCTCTTTATAGGAACCCCCCATTAAGGGATCTACTTTTTGGATCCTTCCGGGGGTCTGGGCCTTGGGTTCAGGAACCCGAAGATGGCTATGCCTGCAGTGTTTTTTGCTTGAACCCTCCCACATTTAGGGTTTAGGGTATACCTGGATTTAGGGTTTAGGATTTAGGGGTTAGGGTTTGGGGTCTGGGGTTTAGGGTTTAGGGTTTAGGACCCTAAAAATAGGTAGAATCATAGCCCTGTGTAGGTAGAGGGAGGTAGGGTTGAGTGTTTGACGGGGGGCTTGTTACTGCTCCCTTGTAACGATATCACCGTCACATACTACAAAGTGCAGAACACGAGGAGCAGATGACATTGAAGATTTGCCGGGATGGGCCCAGGGCTTTCAGTGTCTGGGGTTTACAGTACTTAAAGGATCATGGGGCGTAGTGACTAGGGTTATGAATAAGGTAACTATACTTATAGCTACTTATAACCCCAATTAAGGTAATTATAACTGTACTTATTAAGCATTGGGCTTCGGGGTCAGACAAGAGTTGAGGAGACTAGCTAGCTAGCTTCGTGCGTCTCACAGGTCTGTATTGGGGTTTGGAATGTTTAGGAGCACCAGCCCGAACCCAAACCCTACGTCCTAAACCCCAAACCCTAAACCCTAAACCCTAAACCCGAAACCCGAAACCCGAAACCCTAAACCCTAAACCCCTAAACCCCATACCCTAAACCCTAAACCCCATGCCCTAAAACCCTAAACCCCTAAAGCCCCAAACCCTCCTAAAACCTTAAATTACAACCTTAAACCCTAAACCCCAAACCCCTAAACCCCTAAACCCTTAAACCCCACACCCCAAACCCCTAAACCCCTAAAGCCCTAAACCCCTAAAGCCCTGAACCCCTAAGCCCCTCAAACCCCTCAACCCCTAAGCCCCAGGAATAGATAGCTTCGCGCCGTTGATTGCCAAGAAGCTTGGAGCGAAGAAAGAGAACCTTCAGAAGGTCCTCTGGGGCACCTCGGATCTCTGGTTTAGGGTTTAGGGATTTAGGGTTTAAGGTTTAGGGATTTAGGGTTTAGGGTTTAGGGGTTTAGGGTTTAAGGTTTTAGGGTTTAGGGTTTAGGGCTCTCAAGCGGACTTAAGGCCTTAGCCGTAAATTCCGGGCTTAGGCTCCAGGGATTTAGGGTTTAGGGTTTAGGTTTAGGGCTTCAGGGGTTTAGGGCTTCGGGGGTTTAAGGTTTAGGGTTTAGGGTTTCGATTTCGGGTTTTGCGGCGCAGACCGGACGCGGAATGTTTTGCATTCAGGCTCCGGTTTTTGGATTGAAGTTCCGTTCGGTTCCAGAACGTTCATGGATGTGCTCGGATTGTATGTTGTGTTGCTATCTACAGTTTAGGGTGGTTCCTGAATCCTGTTCTGGCAAAGTTCGGGGAATATAGAAACCTGCATATTTACGAAGCTTGCTCCTTAGAGTTCACTCCTGCGATATAATTGAAATCTCCCCCCAAAACCCGACTCGAAGCAGAAAGGCCCTATATGTACTATGAAGACAGCACGTGTGTGGGGCACGGGGATGGGACACTGAAGGTGTCGAGCATTTCGGGCGGGGATTCAGGGTTCAGGGTTAGGGTGTTCAGGGTTTTCAATTTTTGTGGTTTATGTTCTTGTAGTTGTTTTAGGTCAAGTTTCGGATTTACAGTAGTGCATGGAAACACAAGCCTTCTATGTACATCAAATCGTAAATGCAGCGACAAGAGTACCGGGTAGAATCAGTCCACAGCATGTCACTTCCCCGACTCCTTGCCCTCTTCGACATCATCTTCGATCTTTCGTCAGACCACTGGACGGGTCCATGCAGTAGGACCCCAAAGAAGGGCTAAGGTGTCCTACTATTTAATGGCATGGCTTGCAAGAGACAGGCCTTTGATTGAAAGGGTTCTGTTCTGCAGATCCTCTGAGGGAGCTCGCATTGTCAGGTCGATGGCACAGGTCAGCTTAGGGTCTAGCGCTTAGATGAAGGAGTCTATTCTGCACCGGGATACAAAGGTTATTTTGGGTTTCGAGGGCAGCATCTAGACTAAGCATAGTAGCCTACAAGCAGCGGTGCTAAGAATGTAGGCGTGTTTGACGATCGTAGAAATGGCTGACAGATGGACAGCCCGCTCTTGATTCTGCGGTGGTGGAAGAAATTTCAAGATGAAAGGGAAACCGTGGATCAACTTAACAATCCATGGCATCGTCGTCTTCATGCCTTCTTCAAATTCATCTTGGTCTCTATATGTATCATAACATCTTCTTCATCGTTGTAATCACTAAGTTCAAAGCACCTTGACGACGAAGGACAAGGCAAAGATACAATTGCAAGTCCGCTACACAATCAGCTTCACGATGAGGGCAAAGAGAACTCTGCCTTGTATAGAACCCTGACAGTAACCCTTGCTAAACAACCATGAAACTCCAACACTCCATCAGACACCCCTTAATAATTTTTTCACCCCAAACCCCCCCGCCCTCCCCACTCCCGAAACTCCGTTGCACCCAGCAGCCCCAAAGCATAGACTCCTTTAACTTCATGACCTCTATCAAACCAGCGAAAAACCGCTGAAGCCCCGAACCCTAAACCCTAAACCCTAAACCGCTGAAGCCCTGAAGCAGCCCCCAGCCCAGGCGACTGGACCTTCAACAAGAAGACCAAGCGCGCCCAGAAGCGGACGTCGGAGGACCTGTTGTTGGCCTTTGGGTGGTTCTTAGGGCTTGGGGTTGAGGGCATAAGATTCAGAAGGTGCGTGTGTAAAGATTCTGTATACACACATATGCGCGGTTCTAATCGGGTTTCTAGAAGGAGTTTAGGGTGACCCTAAACCCTAAACCCTAAACCCTAAACCCCTACACCCCTAAACCCTAAACCCTAAACCCCTAAGCCCTAAACCCTAAACCCTATTAGGTTGCGGATCTGCCACCCGGAATTTCGCGCGAACTGGACACCAGAAGCTCCGCCTGCCTGACATCGACAGGCCACACTGACCCAAAGGGTCCTACTTGGTAGTAGCTAGGGTTTAGGTTTAGGGTGTTGGGCCCATGGGACTTGGTAACTGGGTTTAGTGTTTAGGGTTCAGGGTTCATGGGACTTAGTAACTAGGGTTACGAATAAGGAAACTATACTTATAGTTACTTATAACCCCAATTATGGTACTAATAACTGTACTTTCCCAAATCAATCAAAGGATTTCTAACATCTAAGCCCTAAACCCTGACCCAAACCCCAAACCCTAAATATAGAGACCCTACATTCTACCAGAAAGGTACTTGCAATTGTTTGGGTGAAGCACCAGCTTCGCTGACAGACAGTATTGTTTCCGCACTCCGCCGACCCGTCCCATTCCGAGAGCCATTGATAAACGCCTCGGTGCCAACCCTGTAAACCCTAAATGAGCTTGCCTTAGTCCCAGAGCTCCTAAGTCCCACATTTAGAACTCTTAATGATAATCCTGAATGTGTATAGCAGAAAGCGCCGTAAACATCTCGTTAAGCCTGTGAGCCTAAAGCCTAAACCCCAAGCCCAACACCCTCCAACCTATATACCGGAACCCCTAAACCCTGAACCCTAATAGGTCAGTCAGAGTCTGGGTCAGAGTCTGAGTGCTGTTAGTTTTGCATGTTCAACCCGTTTTCGACCCTCAGCCTTCTGACTCTCACCGAAGCCACCCCCCGGCTGTACTTTAAGGGTTCCTCATAGGATTCCTTAGCGGCATCTATACGGGTTCTATAATAAGAGGGTTAAGGGTACTTGCAAGAACCATGGGACTTAGTAACTAGGCTTGTGCAGAATAAGTGTAACTGTATTCATGATGACTTATCGCCAGAAACTAAGGCACATATAGCTGTACTTACCAAGCCCCATGAACCTCCAAGTACCCGAAGGACACGGAGTCTAAGACGATGTTTGCAGAGTTTATCATGCCCCCCCCGGCTGGTTTCTGCAAGCAATGCCGCGCTTTGGGCTGAGGAGATTAGGGCCTTGAACTTATACTAAGGGGTTTAGGGTTTAGGGTTTAGGGTTTAGGGTTTAGGGTTTAGGGTTTAGGAAGGTCCCTTAATAGGGACCCTTGTAGGTTTTTGGGGTTAATATGGGGACTACCTGGCTATATAAGGGGTATATAAGGACTATACAAAGGTTATTTTAAGGTAATGGGATTAAGGGTCCCGATTAGGGGTCCCTCCTAAAGTCCTTAGATATACGTGCCATAGGATTCTGGCACGCATGAAAGCTCGGATGTTGCCCAGAGGGTCCGAGTACCGTTTTAGGTCACAAAATCCATTCTCTGAATGGTTCTTGGACCTTGAAACCCTACTATTTGGGTACTTGGACCCTTAGGGTTGCATTTGGGTCAAGGTTTACGGAGGCTGCCTAATTTATAAGCGGTTTAGGCTTTGGGGTTGGGTGCGGAATCATTTTGCATCGTCTTTGATTGTGCAGAATGTCATGAGGGCCGAACGATGTCCAACAGTATTCCCTAGGCCTTAAGGGTTCCTTATTGTGATTGTAAATTGTACAGTATGCTACACCTCCAAAACCGTGTTCTAATTATGAAGGCGGCCGCAAAAATGTCGGAGGTCCAATCATGCGCCCTGATTAAGCCCTGAACCCGAAGGCTATCCTTAGTAGCTGAGCTTGTACATTTCTTTTACTATGTAAAAGTCATAATCCCTAACATTTCCTCGCCCTAACGCCCCTAAAACCTCAGAAAGAACTGATAGTTTCAGCTTTTGGGGTTTATGAACTAGGGCAACAAGCCAAGCGGTCGTCTGACTTCTCCAAGAGTTCCCTGGCTGCGACATGCCTTAGCGCTTCCACTTCAGGGTCGAAGAGTCCTCCCTTTTAAAGGGTACTTTCGAGGGATCTTTTGGGGGTTGTTTAGGGGCTGTACAAGAGACTTACTTAAAGGTTCATGGGACTTTGTAATTAGGGTTATAGATAAGGTAACTATACATATAACCCCAATTCGGGTACTAATAACTGTACTTATTAAGTCCCAGGAACCTCCAAGTAGGGTTCAGGATAATACTCGATTGCTATGCTTCGGTTTTAGGCTGTCAAAGTCAGAGCCGGACTGCCGCGCTCGTTTTTTGGAAGCTGTGGTGCTTGTCCATGATATGCAGAGGTAAACCCTCGCAGAGCCCTAAGGCGTTAGGGTTTGGGGTTCCGGGGTTTAGGGGTGTAGGGTTAAGTTTAGGGTTACACACTATCCCAAGCCCAAGAAGCTCCAAAAACCCGGCGAGGCAGCCGATGTCGGGGCTTCTTACAACTCAGCGTCCCTTCTTGGGAGTCCGTGTGAAGACAATTATTATTTTCCCCAAAGTTCACGATCATGGCAATATTGTTACTAACACTAAGAATGCTATGAATAATTCTAAGATACTTATTATCAGAGTCATAGTAGTAGTAGTAGTTGTAGTAGTCGTCGTCGTCGTAGTAGTAGTAGTAGTGGTGATAGCACTAATAGTACTGATAATCAACAAGAGAAAAAGAAGACTAATACGACGACGACTAGCACGAAACATACTCTACTAATGACAACAGTAAAAACAATTCCGACAAGAGTGCTTCGAATACAAAAGATTATAACACTGCAAGCAGCAATAACAATAATATTAATCATCGTAAAACTCTGTATATTCATGTAAATACTAACATGAACATTCAATTTAATATGAAGGTTAATATTACTATTAGTATCGGTATTCGTATTGGTATAAGTATGGGTATTAGTAAGAATATCCGTGTTGGTATTAGTTTTTAACAACGCTGATGGGGTCTATGGTGTAGGAGTGTAGGGTTTCAGAAGGTTTAGAGTTTAGTTTTTGTTGGAGGGAAGGGGGTGAGGGCTTAGGGTTTGGGGATATAACAAGGAAACACCAAAAACCGCAAGTCGTCAAACTCAAAAGCTCCTTGCCAGGCAGCCTATATGCAATCTATACGAGGCCCGCTGCTGAACGCCGGGGGGTTTGGCACATGAGGCATCAATCATCTCATGTGTTCGAGTGTGGGGTCAGCTAGGAGATTTGCTTTTTTGCTGGCGGTACCTGGGGCAATACAATATAGCCGGAATAATTCCCAAAATTACCACCTTGAATTTCCGAATATATCTGGAGAGTAACATACCCCAAAACCCTAGTCCAATCGCGGAGGCCCTTGTACTACCTTGTCTGTAAGAATCTTCAATGAATTTCGTGGGCTGCTGTGTATATCGACTTGCAGAGCATTCTCAGGGTTGTGGACATGTGGATCTAGAAGTCAATAGGCGGGGATCAGGTATCTCCTGCCAGCACCCCTATCTTTCAAGAACTACCACATGTATCGACCCGTCGGTCCTATCCCAACACAAACCTTGCAACCCCAAAACCCTAAACCCTAAACCCCTAAACCCCTAAACCCCTAATCCCTAGACCC